ATAGGTGGTGATGATGATTGTTTTGGGTGGCCTGATCTTGCTATTTCAGCACCAGGGACAAGTCTTAAATGAAGTAGAAATAATATTATATTATATTATATACTTTTAAGAGTAGTTTCATGGAAGAAATCGAAAAAAAGGAGGTGTTTTTTTTTTTTTTTTACTTTATTAATGGTCTCTCGTCTTTTTGCAAGTTTTTTGGGGTTGCATGGATTGGTTTGGCTGTAGGAATTTTTACTAAAAACTGTTATAGTAGGCAAAGCTATTTTTGCTTGTTGGGCAAGTGTTGTATTTTTTTGTTTTTGTTATTGTAAATGTATTTTTGGGAGTCTTCCTTTTTCTTTTTGACAGAAATAGGTCCCAACTTTCATGAAATGAACAATATATTTTCTTTGTTAGTTTTCATGAATGTTGTTGTTCTACATGCGCGATTAAATAGAACAACTTGATCAGTAAAGATTCATATAGTTGCATTACGCATAACTTAATAACTTGAAATTTGAGTGATTTTACTGTTTTGTTGTTTGTTTTGCCTTCTTCCATGGTGTATTATGTTGCAAAAAGTGTAGTACTTTTGGTGATTTTACTTTTTTTCTTTCTTCTTCTATTGGGTTTGATGGGGTCCTCCAGTTTATTACTAAAAAATGTTCCTATAAATCAAAAGTATTTTGTAGGTTTGTTAGGGAGAGAGGGGGCCTGTTAGGGTTGTGTTATTTCAAAAAGCCTTTTTTCCAGTTTTGAAGGGGGGCCCTTCCCTTTCCCTTCGACCCCTGTCACATAATTGTCTAAAGTTAACTTTCAAAATACTCCTGATTATATGATATTATCTTTTTGATAAGTGTTAAATGTTTGAGTAAGTGATTAATGAAGTTGGTTGAGAACGATGAAATTTTATATTTAAATTTGGGTAGAAGCTTAGGTGATTTTGTTCAAACTTCGATAGATAGGAATTATTTGATGATGAATAACAAATATTCTATAAAACTATTCAAAATACGTGCAAGTTATTTAAATATTATAATTTTATCATTGAAGTTATTCAGATGATAAGTATTCTTCGGTCTATAAGACGGACAATTATAAAGTAGTAGTAATTAATGAATGGCTCCAAAATGAAGTGTCAGCGCCCGGGTTGATATGCACCACCGACCGTGGCCGATATAATGGAATTTGATTCCCAATCCCAAACGAATTTCTTACTTTTGCATCCCAACTTTTCCACTAACATTTAGATTCCATTAATATATAGGATTTTTATTTTCTCGTTTCATATTAATTTTTCTATATTATCATAAATAATTATTTCAAATTATTTGTCATTTTACAATACTAAAGTAGAACTAGTTTGATATTTCATTTTACTCTTATAACTAATTCTTCTTTCTATTCTTTTTAGTTTTAAACGATTTTGTAAATTTCAAAAAGTTTTTTAAAAGATTAATTAGTAAAACTGTCATTTTTGTTTGTGATTTCTTAATGAATATATAAATAAAAAATAGATAACTAATATGAGACAAATGAAGTATTGTAGAAATTTTTTTCTCGGCTAAATATGGATCGACACTGCAGGATGAGGGTGGCGCTTCTAACACATTTTTTTCTCTTACTTAGGTCTCATTTGTTTTCATTAAGATTAAGCAGGATGAGGGTGGCGCTTCTAACACATTTGAATCTGAATACACGTCTGAATATTAAAATTTGCATTAAGAGCTAGGTGTCTAGATCTAAATACACATCTGAATATTAAGATGTGGTGTCCAAATCTGAACACTGAATGATTATTTTTTGTTTTCAATAACTGAATGTGCATATGAAATCAAACATTATATTAATAAAATGTTATAAAAAAATCATTTCAACAAAAAATATTACTTTTTGATTAAAAAAACATCACAATCATCAAGCATAACATAAAAAAAATTACGAATAAAAAATATTTTATAGGCACAATATAATATCAAAAAGTTCAATAAGTATGATAGATACTAGTCGAAACATAATAAATAAGGTATCACATTATCAACGCATAACATATATTTTGGCTAATTAGAAAAACTAAAGAATTCTTATCTTTTTTTCCAATAACCGTAATCCAATTCTCTAACTTGTGAACCTCTAATGTCATTCATGTTTTTTTGTAGCAGACACTTTCACAAAATATACTAATGCATGTACTGTATAATGGTTCTTTCCATCCAAGTCCATCTAATTTTTCCATATATTCTTCAAATGTAGGTGCACTATTTTTTTAATCAATAACTCCAGAGCAGTAATCATCTTCTCATCAATTCCAGTTCAGATGAATAAGTTTTTTTTCTTCCCCAAAACTTTTTTTACCAACTGAAATTGAAGATTGGGATGTAGAATTATTAGGAGCTTCATTATTTTTGTCACCAACTAGTTCAACAACAAAAATATATCAAAGAGTCTCAATAAAATTATTGGCCTAAGACAAAATTCTAATAAGAGATCTCAAATATGTATACATAGTTATTATTTTTAATAATGAATAGTATTTTTTCACTCAAAACCCTTGATGAACATCAATACACTAAAACTATTATTGCAACAGTGTTCTTGACAAACATAAATACACCCTAAGAAAATTATTAATATAAAAAAAATACTTGTAAAGATTATGAAAACTTACCGATGATGTAACACCCCGACTTTTCAAAACGTCTAAATTAACTCGTATCTTCGTGGAAAGACAAGGAGGGTGAGTAATAAATTAAAAATGATGTGTTATGTGATATTTTAAATGTTCAAGTGTTGTATCTCAAGTTTTGAAGTTAGGTAAGTGGCAAAATAAAAGTATGCGAAAGTTACCGTAAATTCCTTTTTAAAGATTTGTCTGAAATTTGTGTCAAATGTCTCGGACGTTTTCTCCCAATCTATTAAGAGTTATGGTCCCCGCGAGCTATGAAATCGAAGGTCTACGAGTCTAGTTTCCAACGCATCAAACCATTCGTTCATATGACTTCAAAAAAAAAAGATATTCGCGACTGTGCAAGCAGGCACGTGAGGTGGGTCCCTAAGTCGGTGGAATGTTACATATATCTTCTTTTTCGACCTTTTTCTTCATTTTTAAGCTAAAAACCAGAGAAATTAGAGAAACTCATTTCTAGGATCAAGTGAAGTATAGATTTTCTCGACTTAAGTCCTTGACGAAAGTTGTTCTATGCGTTGGGCTCATCATCGTGGTATAATTTGTTTTAGCGATTGTGTAGCATCACACTTTAGTGTTGGGACAACAAGAATTTGAATATATTTGAAGGTTTTGAGGCGAATTACGAACCTAAGATCGAGGTAAGACCCTCTTTTCATCGACTCTAGCTTTTATTAGCAGCAAATAGCAATTTGCGACGGAAATACATATATTTTATCGTATTGTCATGGTATCTTTTATTTTTG